GTATTTTTAAGCTATATAAACAAATGAAAGTTGAAATAAAGGACAATAATTTTTGAGTATCGAAACGATACAGATCTCATCATTTTAACAGAGCGGCACTTCTGCCATTAATACTGAAAGTGCGGCATTCGTGCCATATAGATAATTTGGCGAGTCACGCCTAAATGACAATTCTGCGTATCCTTTCATCTGACATCCTTTCTTTGCCCTATTGATACCATGTCCTACCAAACCCCATACAACATGCGTCTATCTTGTACAACAGTTGTTTTTAGAAACGAGCTAATAGTCGTTTTTTGCTAGATCGAAGTAACTACATCCTTTTGTTTCTTTCTCCAAATTGCATTAAAAATTTACAGATCATAACCTTGCTCAGATAAAATAATGATGCAGAATTTAACAGCTTGCACCCGACTGCATGCACACAGGACTGAACGAGTTTTGGCTGTTTTTCAGTGGTAAGCAGATTATCCAATTCAACGGACTAGTCCAGCGACAATTTGTGTTCTTCGTTACTCAAGATCGTTTGCCTGTGCTCCTTTGTTCAATGGTTTTGGTGGAAAATCTTTTACATAGCTGCTGGTTCATTTTGGTTTCGCTTGGCAGCAAAAGCTCCTGGCAGGATCGCCAAAAATTTTGTGTTTAATAAAAATTAAATTAAATTGTTAAGTTTTTTAATTTAACAAATTTTTTTATTTTATTATTTAAAGATCAAAACCCGAATGAATGAATACAAAAATTTTCAACTCAAAATTGATCGTACATAAATAAATGTAACAAGATATTTTCATAAATCAAAGTATTTTAAGAACAAGTGTTTAACAAGTAATGTGTATCACTACATGTTCATCCCGCTTCTTATACAATAGGTAACCATAACCTGGAACAGGTATACAATTTTGTGGACCTTGGTATCACAATGGATCCTAAGCTTAATTTTAATCTTCATATTAATGTAACAGCCAACATGGCTAAAGGTGTACTTGCATTTGTGAAACGATGGTCAAAATAATTTTGTGACCCTTATATCACTAAAACCCTGTTTGCAACATGAGTGGGGCCAATTCTGAATACGGTTCGGTGATTTGGAATCCAAGGTATCAAATTTACTCAGACAAGATAGAATCAATTCAAAAACAATTCCTACTTTTTGCTTTAAGAAATTTCCGTTGGGATTGTCAATATAACCTTCCACCTTATACGAGCCGATTAAAACTTATAAATCTTCCTACACTTTCCAGCCGCAGGCAAATGCTTGGTACAATTTTTATAGTTAAATTACTAACAGGCTCAATTTCAAGTCCGCTTCTCACGGGTATTAAGACACTTTTGTCCCCATATGTCTGAAAGCTTCTAAAACTAGTTTTGAATTGCACGACCCACTCCGTTGCTTATGCCAGGATTTTAACTCTCATTCCAGCACGTTTGATATATCAGATCCGCTTTTCAGCATTAAGAAATCGATACTGTCCTCTCTCAATAACCGAATCGTTAAAATAAAGACATAAAATCGGCTGATGAATTTAGTTCTGTAGCTCAACAGTTTTAGATCTGGACACTTAACAAACTCCTGCCTATCGTGACTCGGCGCAAAAATTGAAAATACTGGTTCCGTACGTCATGTGGCTGCGCCCCTCGTGCGGATGGGCGGGAATGGAGGGTAAAATCCGTTGGGATTATAAAAAAAAGGGGAATTTGCTACGCTTTTACATTTTCATAAGTATATACATATGTAAGTATGTATTTCCACCTTAATATCAAACTTCTGTCCTCACAACTTACCAAGCTATGTGATAACTTAACGTTGATCCGAAGGCACGCTCTTCATTATTTATAAGCAATTTAATTGTTGTATTATCCTCAACGCCATCTAAAACATTCTGAGCCATTTGAATAAGTTTGTAGTCAGCACGCTTTTCCAACTGGAAATCCTGAGGTATGGAGCCTCCTACAATATTTGTACCAGGCCTTAACTCCAAAGCATTTTTTAACAGCAGAGAGAAGTTTAAAGAGTTCGATTTGCTGCTTCCTTTTCTAGATACTTGAAGTAAATCTGTTCGTCCGATTAAATCTTGAAATCGACGAATCCCCAATTCCGCCATGATATTACGAATCTGCAATCATAATAATATTAGTAATTTTTTGTAATCAGCTTGCAAAAGAATCCTAGCTACAAAGCAAGACAAATTTTTATTAAGGACTTGGGTCCAAATTGCGGCATTCAAATTTACGAAGCGCACTTATTATCGAGGACCGCAATTCCAAAATCACATTTCGAGTCGAGTTTCATTCGAAATCGACTGCATTTATTTGGACCCTAGGACGAACCGGTACAGTAGTGAACGAGTTCAAAATCGTACGAACAAAATTTCGTGACTCGTCAGTCGCCTGAGTAATTTATTTGTCAGCATACTGAATTGCATTTTCCGGTTACAATAGACACTGGTCTGGGCTCGAATCGTAACAGTCGTGAACGAGCAACTCGTCACGTAAAAATGCTTATTTTTTGCTTATAACAGTCGTGAACGTACTGCTCGTTTTATAATTCGGTTTCCGAGACGAACAGTACGTTCACGACTTTTATAAACCTGAATATTACTTTTTATGTACCGAGTTGCTCGTTCACGACTGTTACGATTCGATCCATGTATTTTTTTTTTTTTAAGAACATTACATATAGTTTATATCAATGTAATCATGTAATTTTAGTGCTTTAATTGGGCGCCTACAAACAATTGATCTTATCGCGAATTTCGCGTGAATAACTATTCCCAAAAATTATAAAGAAAAACAAAAACAATTTTTCCTAATTTGTTTTTGTTTTGCGTGTTAAATTATGAGAACGATTTATTTATCTGTTGAAACTTTACTACCAAAAGGATTACGTCACGCTTGTTTCAACAACCGGTTGTACCGGCTACCCATTTCGAAAAAAACCTACAATAAGATAATAAAACGAAAATATAGATTTATTGGATACTGGCCGGCCACGGATGCGCGAGGCTTCGTCACGCGCTGAATGTATGCATATGTATGTGCATTTACGTATTTGGAGAAAGAAATCATATGTCATCATGTACTTCGTTTATTATATACTTAAAAAATCTTGCCTAAATCCGTTAAGTAGCGTGGTCAGAATATCTCGCCTTTCCTCTTACTACGTATAGAGGCTAAGTCTTTTCATTTGACAGTGACGGTGCGGAACTGACGCCTACGCTTATTAGGATTGAATATAGTAATTTTATTAACAGGTGGCAACCATATTCAAAAAATAAGACATTCGTGATTTTCTAGAGACCAATCGCTTTCATGTGACACCTAACTTTTTGTAATCCAACGAACGGTGCGGATCTTATAGTTTTTTAAACAGGTGGCAACCCTATTAAAATTCTATATAAAAAAGGTCACTCTCCTATCGCTACAGAGTATATTAGAGAAAATCTCGTCAAAATCCGTTCAGTAGTTTTCAAGATTACCGCGTACAAAGAATCTCGACTTTCCTTTATACTATGTATAGATTCACTGAATCAGTGTCTGAAGTCAGCACGTCTAACAGTGTGGCGACTAGAACAAGTTAGCTGGACACAATTATTTTATTAGTGTTTAGGACAGATACTAAAAGTCTGCATCGGAATTCAGTTTGCCTCACTATGAAGTTTTTTTCATACATCTAAATTACTCACACTAACAAAGAGGGCATGGGAGGAACAGATGTGAAGATTTTGAGCGCTGTATACATGATAAAAGTTCTCAAACAAAATATGTTCCGAAAAAAAGAGAAACATAAACAAGCAGTACCATGCTGTTAAGCTCGTGTAAAGTTAGCAAGCATTTTTTGTTAAAGTTACTTTTTAATCAGAGTTCCTGACAGCAAGGTAATAGTTCTACAGTTCACAATCAAATTTTCAATAGTTCTGTTAATTAAAGCCAAAAAAAGCTAAAAAAAAAACAAAAATGCTTGCTAACTTCACGCAGCAAGCCTTTTTTTCAGGAAAAACAGTTCTGATACCACCAACTTACGAGAAATAAAGAGTTCTGCAGTTCCCTAATAGTCTCGAAAAAAAGTTCCGCGAAGTTTTGAAAAAAAAAAACAAAAAAAAAATTTTACACTCAAATTTATTTTATGAATTACTTTTTAATTAGAGCTCCTGACAGCAAGGCAATAGTTCTACAGTTCCCTAACCAAAATTTCAATAGTTTTGTTAATTTAACCTAAAAAAGCTAAAAAACAAAAATCGCTTGCTAACTTCACGCGCAAGCCTTTATTCAGCAAAAACGGTTCTGATATGACTAACTTACAAGAAATAAAGAGTTCTACAGTTCCCTAATAGTCCCGAAAAAAGTTCCGCGAAATCCAAACAAAAAAAACAAAAAAAATTGTGACATACATTTTTTTTTGTAATTACTTTTTAATCAGAGTTCCTACAAAACTGCATACTCAAAATCTTTCTAAGGGCCGTTTTCTCAAGTAGTTCTAAAAATTTATCTACCCTTTAAAAACTAATTTTATTCTCAAAAATGTGTTCGAAGGGCAGATAAATTCTAAAAGGTACTTGCTCGTAATTTCTACCAGTTTGTTTAATTTTTTTTTTTTAATATTGCTCAATGGTTGAACCTTGGATTTATATTGTTTCTGTTAAAGAATGGACTATATTCTTATGAAAAAATAACTAAAATTAAATAAAGAAAAAATGAAAACTTCTTAATATGTGGGGTGGCTGTAATTTTTTCGACCACTGTATTATAATGTACGTATGTATGGCAATGCCATCCTACAGGTACGGTGACCATATTAACCAACGTAAAATAAAGGACATTTTTTTTTCAAAATGATTTGGGAATACGCACATACAACTTGTATGATAAAAGTACCTTACCCATATAGTAATTTAAAACAAATATTTACTAGTTAATTATATTATTTAATTGTACAAGTTTCCCTGCTATAGCGAAAAATGAAGCCAAATCCTTTTCAAGGACTTCGCCATCCTTACCTACCAAAATGTTCATAATGCCTTCATTTTTCACCCAATTTTTGCTAAAAACTAAAAAAATATATTAATTTTGGTGAACATTTTTTTTATAACCTTTAAATTTTTGTTTGTGTAATTTTTTCGTTTTGGGAAAACCATACAATTGTTTTTGACTAGTTTTTATTAAGTAACATTTATTAACTTGAACATTATATTCAAAATAGCTACTTTTTCTGCATTTTGTACTAAGAAATTTAATATAACCAAATAAAAATTAACAAATCAGGCTCAAATGGCCTCTTGAAAATATTGTAAGCTCCCATAAAAAAATTAAAATTAATCAAATTAAGTGAAAAATGAGGGCTCCAATGAATTATGTACACTAAATGCCAATTTTGAACCACTGTGCAGCAGGGGACTTATTGTTCTCTTTCAGTGGAACTGGAAACTCAGCGTGCAATACGATCCTGGCTCTAACTTTCCCTGTTCTTTATAGATTGTACAAAGATTACCGATTAAATAGAAACCCTTAAATGGGGTGCGAAACATACTGGAGAAGGTTTTTATTATATTTTATAAGGGAAATTTTTATTTTTCATATTGTCTTTAAAAATTTACCTCTGAAAAATGCAGAGCTGATTTAAAGCACAGTTTAAGAAATAAATGACAAAAGACATCCTTTATTTTGAAAAAAATTATACAAGACAGGGGAAAGGCATGTTCTTTAGAATACAGGACGGATGGTCACCGTACCTATAGGTGGCGAGTTTTAAGCACAAGCCAATAAGGTGATCGCTTCTATTATAAAATGACGCGGCCACCTGGCGGCTAAATACTTTATAAAATCCTCGTAGAAATAAATATTATTATAAATATGGTAGCACTACGACACGAGTAACGAGTTAAGAGTTCGAGTTGACAAATTTTGACAAAATCGTTTTAACCTAAGAAAAAAAATGTTTTCTAACAATACCCATTCTTTTTTTGAAAGAAGCGTCTTCGAGATTTTTTTCGAAAAACGTGTTTTTTGGTACCTCTCGCAGTTATTTGTCAATATCTTTTGAAAAAATCGACAACCAGTCTACCGCTGATGTATTGATGTGACCTTTGCAAAAATATATAACTTGTGCAGATTTAATTAAAAATTATTATTGTTACTCGTGACCAAAATCGAAAAAAGTGGAATTTTCAATCATTTTTGAAAATTACACATTTTTAGATGCTTATTTTTAACTAAAAAATTTTGCTTCAATTTTTTATTATTTCTTTATTTTATTTCTATTTTTTCTTTTTATTATTTCTTTATTTTATTTTTATTATTTTTTTCTTACTGTTGGACGCAAATTCGAGAAGACTCTACCCAACACAAATCAAAAAATTCAAGGGAAAAGCTTATTTTCGACCAAAAGTGTGATTGTGTGAAAAATGCAAAGCTAGAATTTTTACTCAGTGCTCCATGCCATCTACATTTTATATCCCATTTGGATGATCTTAAACTCAAAGTTTACTGCAATAATTTTTCTTTTTACTCAAATGCATCTACAAATGTGTAATTTTCAAAAATGATTGAAAATTCCTCTTTTTTGCGATTTTGGTCGCTATTAACAATAATAATTTTTAGTTAAATCTGCAAAAGATATTGACAAATAACTGCGAGAGGTACCA